TGCAGCCTGCACTTCATATCTGAGAGTCAAATCCTGCGGTTACAGCGCAATTGTAAACATTCTAATTGTTTTGGTGCTAAACTGCTAAATAGTAAATTTTGAGCGTGCTCTTCATATCTGAGAGTCAAATCAAAGCGTCAAATACTGCGGTTACAGCGCAATTGTTAACATTCTAATTGTTTTGGTTCTAAACTGCTAAATAGTACATTTTGAGCGTGCTCTTCATATCTGAGAGTCAAATAGAAGCGTCTTATAGTGCACTTACAGCGCAATTGTAAACATTCTAATTGTTTTGGTGCTAAACTGCTAAATAGTACGTTTTGGGGGGTGCACTTCATATCTGAGAGTCAAAGAGAAGCGTCAAATACTGCGGTTACAGCGCAATTGTAAATTTTCTAATTGTTTTGGTGCTAAACTGCTAAATAGTATATTTTGGGCGTGCTCTTTATATCTGAGAGTCAAATAGAAGCGTTTTATAGTGCGCTTACAGTGCAATTGTAAACATCCTTGTTTTCTGGGTGCTAAACTGCTAAATAGTACATTTGCGGCCTGCACTTCATTGTGCAGTTTGGAGGAAGAGGCGGTGGTCGCACAGAGGCACCAGCACAGAGGAAGAGGGAGCAGGGTGCAAAAGCGGAGCGGCCGTCCCCTAGACGGTACGCCTGTTACTGCCCACCGCACCCAGAGACCGAGCACACCAAAGCCAGCTCCAAGGAGTTCCTTGGCGTGGTTTGTACGCTGTGCAATCAAAGCCTGAAGTGAGGTATAAACGTGCTAAACCTGAGCACAACCTGCATGACCAGGCATCTACATGCAAAGCATGAGCTGCAGTGGAGTAAGCACATCAAAAACCAAGAAAGGTCTAAGGCTCCTTCTGCTTCCTCTTCTGCTGCTGTCTCGGCCTCTTCCTCCACCTCTGGAGTGACAGTGGCACCTGCCTCCCAGCAAACAGAAAATGTGGCAGCAACGCCACCACGTCCGCCACCGTCCCCAAGCATCTCCACACTGTCCCATGGAAGCGTTTAGCTGTCCATCTCCCAAACACTGGAGAGAAAGAGGAAGTACGCCCCTACCCACCCGCGATCACTGGCCCTGAATGCAAACATTTCAAAATTATGGTGGAGACGGATAGTTTTAAAAACCTGATGGCGGTGGCTGTCCCACATTACGTGGTAACCAGCTGCCACTACTTTTCCAGGTGAGCCATCCCTTCCCTGCACAACCAATTGGCGGACAAAATCAGGTGTGCACTGTGCAACTCCATCTTTGGCAAGGTCCACATAACCACAGATACATGGACCAGTAAGCACGGGCTGAGACGCTATATCTCCCTAACTGCACACTGGGCAAATGGAGTGGTGGCTGGGCCTGAGGCGGATAGCAGTTTGGCGCATGTCCTTCCGCCACCGAGGATTGCAGGGCATTTCTCTTTGCCTCCTGTTACCTCCTCCTCCTACTCCGCTTCCTCCTCCTCTACCATCACCTCATCCAGGCAGCGTAACACCTTCACCACCAACTTCAGCACAGCCAGGGGGAAACACAAACAGGCTGTTTTAAAACTCATATGTTTGGAGGAAAAATCTCACACCACGCTGGAGCTGTGGACGGACATGGAACAACAGACCGATGAGTGGTTGTTGCCAGGCCTGGTGGTGTGCGATAATGGGCGAAATCTCGTAGCAGCTCTGGGCCTAGCTGGTTTGATGCACATCCCTTACCTGGCGCATGTGCTAAATTTGGTGGTGCAGAAATTCCTGAAAAACTACCCAGATATATCCGAGCTACTGCAGAAAGTGCGGGCCGTCTGTGCGCACTTTCAGTGTTCTCACCCTGCTGCTGCGCGCCTGTCTGTACTGCAGCGTAACTTCGGCCTTCCCGCTCACTGCTTCATATGCGACGTGCCCACAAGGTGGGACTTCACCTTGCACATGCTGGAGAGACTGTGCAAGCAGCAGCAGGTGATAGTGGAGTTTCTGACGAAGCACGCACGGGTCAGTTGCTCTGCGGAACAGCACCACTTCACCACCATGCGAGACCTGTGTGCCATTTTGCACTGTTTCGAGTACTCCACCAACATGGCCAGTGCCGATGACGCCATTCTCAGCTGGCGATGATGGAAGAGGATGTGGCAAAGGAGGAAGAGGAGAATAAGGAACAGGGGTAATTTCCACAGTTATAAGGCCAGTCATTCACAAGTGGCTTAGTGGGTGAGTTCCTGCACCAGCATAGGCCAGGTACACAATTGTTCAGCCAGGGCACAGTTCTGGAGGATGAGGAGGAGGATGAGAAGGAGGATGATGAGGATGAGGAGGAGGAGGAACCGTGTTCACAGCAGGGTGGCACCCAACGCAGCTTGTGGGCATCACTGTAGCGTGGCTGGGGGGATACGGAGGACACAGACAATACACCTCCCACAGAGGACAGCTTGTCCTTGCCTCTGGGCAGCCTGGCACACATGACCGACTATATGCTGCAGTGCCTGCGCAACGACTGCCGAGTTGCCCACATTCTAAACTTGTGCTGATTACTGGGTGGCCACCCTGCTGGATCCCTATTACAAGGACAACGTGCCGTCCTTAATTCTCTTACTGGAGCGTGATCGGAAGATGCGCGACTACAAGCGCACGCTGGTAGACGCGCTGCGGAGTGCATTCCCAACTGACACCAGGGGCTCAGTGGAAGCACAAGGCGAAGGCAGAGGAGGAGGAAGAGGTTGCCAACGCAGCTGGGGCACTGTCAGCACCTTAGAAGGCAGGGTTAGCATGGCCGAAATGTGGAAAAGCTTTGTCAGCACGCCACAACAACCAGCACCACCATCTGATATGGAACGTCTTAGCAGGAGGCAGCATTTCAGCAACATGGTGGAACAGTTTGTGTGCACACACCTACACGTACTGACTGATGGGTCTGCCCCATTCAACTTCTGGGTCTCCAAATTGGGCACATGGCCTGAGCTTTAACAGAGTAAAAGCCTAGTGTATAGAAAATGTAGAGGCAGTGAAGGGGTTAACCCTAAACGAAATGTAGTTGAAAAAAGGAAGAAAAGAAACACTGCCTAAAGGATATAGATATGAGTATAAAAGATAAACTTTAATAGTGAACGAGATACAAAGTGATTATTTTGCACATTCACTCTTGGTACATCTGAGTATTTGCATACAGAGGCATCAAGAGATATTTATGCAGAATTGTAAGATTTAAAAAAGACAAACAACACTAAATTCAGTGAAGATGTTGTCAGAAAATATCAGTTATATCTACTGTAACATTTATCTCGTGTTACAGTTAGTATAGAGTATTCTGTTACAATGGATCAAGCTCTAACAGATATATATTGTCTACAGCTGCAGTCTCTACAGAATACTCTTATACAAAAATTAAAAAACGATTGTAGTTAGGATATATATCCTTTACTTGAGAGAGCACCTACTCTGGTTGGTTACTAATATATCACCCCAGTAATGTTATACCATGAAAAAGTAGATAAGAAGAAATAGTTACTGTGCCTTCAAGGGCACCTACCAGATAGGAGAGCTAACTGCAGGCAGGGCCGGCCTTAGGCAATTAGGCGCCCTGTGCAAAAAGTCTTCACGGCGCCCCCCCCACCTCCCACCAAGTTGCCTGAATACAGTAACACACACAGGCACCGGGGGCGTGTGTATCACGAGGCAAACAAGGCATCTGCCTTGGGCGCCACTTTGCAGGGGGCGGCAAAAAAAAGCATCCCTCCAAACCCCCAGGCAGATCCCTTGCTTGCCTCGCATCCTGGGGGGCTCAAGAGCTGACCGGCTGGCCACTTTTGAGCCCCCCCAAGGCTGGCAGCGGGCAGCGAAGGAGCATACTCACCTGAGCTCTTCCTGCTCAGCTTCCTCTGCGCCGCTTAATGAAGCCGGGAGCCAGAATATGACGTCAGTCCGGCTCCCGGCATCACTAAGCGCTGCTTACTCAGCCTGTGCGCCCCCTGCCTGCCTGCCCAGCAGCCACACTGGACTGCTGGTAAGAAATCCACTCCAGCTTTCCCAGGGAGGCTGGGTGGATTTAAAATAAATGTAAAAAATATTAGTTTGTGAGTGTTAGTGGAAATGTCTGTGTGTGTGTCTGTGAGTGTTTATTTTGAAGTGAATGTGTGTGTGTGTAAGTGTGTAATGTGTGTGTGTAAGTGAATGTGTGTGTGTCTGTGAGTGAATGTGTGTGTTGGTCAGTGAGTGTATATGTGTCAGTCAGTGAGTGTGTATGTGTCGTCAGTGAGTGTGTATGTGTCGTCAGTGAGTGTGTGTCAGTGAGTGTGTAGGTCAGTGAGTGTGTAGGTCAGTGAGTGTGTATGTGTCGGTCAGTGAGTGTGTGTCGGTCAGTGAGTGTGTGTCAGTCAGTGTGTATGTGTCGGTCAGTGGAGTCGTGCATCTTTCAGTGAGTGCTTGCGTCTGTCAGTGAGAGTGTGCATCTGTCAGTGTGTGTCCAAGTAATAGTGTATGTGTGTATGTCATTGTTTGTCAGTGTATATGAGAGTGTGTGTCTGTCAGTGAGTGTGCGTCTGTCAGTGAGTGAGCGTCTGTCAGTCAAAGTGCGGCCTTGACAGGAAGGGGTGGGGGAAATTTAAACTCGGTTACAGGCATGTACACACACACTCAGTTAAAGGCAGTCACACATACAGGCACAGGCACAAACAATGGCACAGCTACAGCGACACACACAGACAGACAGTCACATAGGCAGTCACACACACAGACAGACACACAGTAACACACACATAGACAGTTATACACACACAGGCAGGCAGTCACACAGATAGAAAGTCACACACACAAGCAGGCAGTCACACACAGACAGATAGTTACAGACAGACACACACAGGCAGGCAGGCAGTCACATACAGGCAGTCACACACACAGGCAGTCACACACACAGACAGACAGTCACACACACAGGCAGTCACATACATGGGCAGTCACACAGACAGACAGTCACACACACACAGACAGTCACACACAGGCAGGCAGTCACACACAGAGACAGTCACACACACACACACAGAGACAGACAGTCACACACACACACACAAGGACAGGCAGTCACACAGACAGTCACACACACACACACACAGACAGTCACATGCACACAGGCAGGCAGTCACACAGACAGTCACACACACACACACAGACAGTCACACAAACAGGCAAACAGTCACACACACACACTTACCTCTTTCCAGTGGATGCAGTTGGCTGATGGGGAAGCATCTTTCCCTCTTCCTGTACAGCAGGGGCTTCGGAGGTATTAGCCCCGTCTCCGCCTCTCGATAAGCCCCGCCTCCGCCGCTCGGTAAACCCCGCCCCCTCTGCCGCGATTTTTTTTTTTTTTAAAATAGACCCGGGTGGAGAATAATTAATCCTCCAGCCAGGTACCTCTTTTAGCTCCCCTGCACTCCGGCCATGAGTGAGCTGTGTCGGCCACAGGGCGCCCCCTGTTCCATGGCGCCCTGTGCGGTCGCACAGCTCGCACACCCCTAAGGCCGGCCCTGACTGCAGGTAATAAAGAAAGGAAAGAGGGAGAGAAGAATATATATATATATATATATATATATATATATGTAAATGTCCTTCCAGTTATAACTGTGCCTTCAAGGGCACCTCTCTAGTATACAAACTAACTAACGTTAAATAGCTGTAGTTACGGTGAATATAATGTGTGATCTGCTACACATTATCTAGTGTCACTGCGCTGAAAGCGCTTAAAAGAATAGAGCCACAGAAATTGTATGCGGCTAAATCCTAAAATCCCTCCCAAAATACACCAAAAACTAGTATAGCTGTTAATTCCAATAGGGATGTCCAGAGGTGATTGCTACAAGTGCATAGAATATGATGCTGGGAAGGATCAGAAAAACCCCAACGCGCGTTTCGCCGGTAAGGCGGCTTTTCAAGGGGAACATGATCGTGTCAGATCAGACTTTTAAATAGGGCGCCCAAAAATTTGATTGGAGTCCCGAACGTTGACGTCATCAGTTGTCACTGACAGGAGACGGTGGTCCGAAGGGGCCATATTGCCCGATTCAAAGAAGAGAGGTAATGTTGCTATGTTGCCGTATTTGCAGTTCAAAGAGAAGAACTTGGACGTGTCGTCTTTAGGCTCTCCAATCTGTTTGTCTCACTAGGACGTTGATATGCTCTTTTTAGAACCCTGTTGGGATACCCTAGGGCTTTGAAACGGGCTTTGAAAGCCTCTATCCCATACGGACAGTATTTGAGAGCAAGGAGGAATTGCTCTGAGGATTCAACATATTACCGAGAGTGTCAGTCTTTGAAACTTCGTTTCAAAAAAAGCAAATAATACACTGGTATTTCCTATACCTGCTAATCTGATAAGGGGCACAAATAGGCTCCTATATGTACGAAGGAAATAATATACTGGCACTTCCTTATACCTATTGTAGGTAATAGGTCCATCAGGTAGCATAAACGTTATGACTATGCAGAGATCCAGCATCATAACTATGCCCTTATAAAATGCACCATCCTATATGCCTTTATACATGCCCTCTTATTTCATATTTCATTTTTCTTCTCTTTGAACTGCAAATACGGCAACATAGCAACATTACCTCTCTTCTTTGAATCGGGCAATATGGCCCCTTCGGACCACCGTCTCCCGTCAGTGACAACTGATGACATCAACGTTCGGGACTCCAATCAAATTTTTGGGTACCCTATTTAAAAGTCTGATCTGACACGATCATGTTCCCCTTGAAAAGCCGCCTTACCGGCGAAACGCGCGTTGGGGTTTTTCTGATCCTTCCCAGCATCATATTCTATGCACTTGTAGCAATCACCTCTGGACATCCCTATTGGAATTAATAGCTATATTAGCTATTGGTGTATTTTGGGAGGGATTTTAGGATTTAGCCGCATACAATTTCTGTGGTTCTATTCTTTTAAGCGCTTTCAGCTCAGTGACACTAGATAATGTGTAGCAGATCACACATTATATTCACCGTAACTACAGCTATTTAACGTTAGTTAGTTAGTTTGTATACTAGAGAGGTGCCCTTGAAGGCACAGTTATAACTGGAAGGACATTTACATATATATATATTCTTCTCTCCCTCTTTCCTTTCTTTATTACCTGCAGTTAGTTCTCCTATCTGGTAGGTACCCTTGAAGGCACAGTAACTATTTCTTCGTATCTACTTTTTCATGGTATAACATTACTGGGGTGATATATTAGTAACCAACCAGAGTAGGTGCTCTCTCAAGTAAAGGATATATATCCTAACTACAATCGTTTTTTAATTTTTGTATAAGAGTATTCTGTAGAGACTGCAGCTGTAGACAATATATATCTGTTAGAGCTTGATCCATTGTAACAGAATACTCTATACTAACTGTAACACGAGATAAATGTTAAAGTAGATATAACTGATATTTTCTGATGACATCTTCACTGAATTTAGTGTTGTTTGTCTTTTTTAAATCTTACAATTCTGCATAAATATCTCTTGATGCCTCTGTATGCAAATACTCAGATGTACCAAGAGTGAATGTGCAAAATAATCACTTTGTATCTCGTTCACTATTAAAGTTTATCTTTTATACTCATATCTATATCCTTTAGGCAGTGTTTCTTTTCTTCCTTTTTTCAACTACATGGCCTGAGCTTGGCCTGAGCTTGCCCTTTATGCCTTGGAGGTGCTGGCCTGCCCTGCAGCCAGTGTATTGTCTGAACGTGTGTTTAGCACGGCAGGTGGCGTTATCACAGACAAGCGCAGCCGCCTGTCCACAGCCAACGTGGACAAGCTCACGTTTATTATAATGAACCAGGCATGGATCCCACCAGACTTGTCTGTACCTTGTGCAGAATAGACATTTATACCAGCCTCACCCAGCCATTGTTATATTCAAGTGCACTTATTCTTTGTTTTCTTTTTTTATATGTCCCCAATATTTTGGGGGGCTACACCAAAAAATAAATAAATTAAAAAATAAATAAATAAAAAACAGTGTTGGCTACCTCCTCCTCCACCGCCGCTTCCACCTACACCACCACGGTCACCGCCTCCTCAACCTACGGGTCACTTAGTATAAACTATGTACACAATAGCAGAGGCTTGTGAAGGCCTTTTCTCCATGCATCAGGGGTTGAGCATTTCTCCATGCATCAGGACTGCAAGAAATGCACCGCAGGCCACAAATGTTTCTTTATTTGTATGTCCCAATATTTTGTGGGCTACCACAATTAAAACAAACCCAAAAAAACATAAAATACAGTGTTGGCTACCTCATCCTCCTCCTCCACCGCTGCTTCCTCCTCCACCGCCACGGTCACCGCCTTCTCAGCCTATGGGTCACTTAGTATAAACGAGGTACACATTAGCAGAGGCTTGTGAAGACCTTTTCCCTATGCATCAGGAGTTGAGCTCAGTTTGAACAATGAAAGAGAATACCCTGCACTCCAACCCTCTCTCAAATGGATAATTCTGTTGATCCTCCTGACAGCCATGCTTTAGATTTTGATTTATGTTCTTCCAAAGCTAAAATCAAAGATTCCATCTAGTGCTATTTTATGGCTCAACTGTATTTTCATTTTTATGTTATTTTAAGTAATTTCCCTATCCACATTTGTTTGCAGGGTACTAGTCCTACTCTGCTTTTGCAGCTCTCAATTTTGTGGTAAAAAGTTCGGGTCCCCATTGACTTCAATGGGTTCGGGGTCAAGTTCGAGCCTGAACCCGGACTTTTTTTCAAAGTTCGGCCGAACCCGCCGAACCCGAACATCCAGGTGTCCGCTCAACTCTAATCTCAACCAATTCAATGCTTTTCCATGGGAAAACTTGGATTGTCTGAGATCGTCAATTCTGATGATCTCATAAAACAGGTGGGGTCGGGGGAACATTGCCGGCTGGCCCATGCAGAGCTAGAATAAAGGTAAGTTTTTATCCTGTAGTGTTCCTTTAAACCAGGTAACCACATAAGAGGAAATTCGGGTAAGTAAAAAAAAAATTGTCTGCTTCGGCAATTTGGACCAATGGCATTCGGTTCGGCACTTCAGAACTGCCGAACATCGTCACTTCCGAGCTTCGGCATTTCGGACATTCGTAAGCAGCCGAATGTCCGAATGGCATGAAATTTGTACGAATGTACATTCGGAACGAAACGAATTGTACATGTCTACTTTATATATCCTATATAATAATTGGCTAAGGATGTTTGTTTGATGCAGCCATGTGCAGTAGAGACTGCATGGAACAAACATCCCATGCCAGGTGGCGATAGAGCAAAGTACTTACTGTGCTCTTGCAGCACAGCTCTCTCACAAGTCCTTCAGGGTCCACTGGCAGCCGCAATGTGACACGTACAGGATATGACATCATTGCACAAAAGGAATCAGCTTGTTTGTCAAGATTCCTGTCATAAGTCACATAATTTTCCCTCCCTCTCTCTTGTTTTGCCACTTTTCAGAAATCTGAATCTCTTCGGCACTTCGGAGCTTCAGCGTTTCAGTACTTCCCAACTTTGTCACTTCGGAACTTCGGCGCTTCGGGACCTCGGCACTTTGGCACTTCTGATATTCGTAAGCATCCGAATTGCTGAGGGCATTAAATTCGTACAAATATACATTCAAAACTAAATGAGTCGCACATGTCTAGTAAGAAAATCTTATTATGTCTTCTTTTTTGACAGCTAGTATTGTAGTAACTTGCAGTCAGCAAAAACATTTCTTGCAGCAGTTATCACAAATGTATTGCCATAATTTAAGAGATAACGTAACAGTCTGGATACTGTATTTGAATATCATGTGTAAAGTTCATCAGTAATAAGGAAGAAGAGATTCAAAATTGCCAACTCCCAGTCCCACAAAACCCTCTCCGAGTATACTAAAATGCAAACTTTCATTTTAAGAAAATAAGACAAAGTTCAATTTTATTTGGCATAGAGTTAATGTATATAGTACTCATGGGATAGTTACATCTGAAGTGTTTATTGGTGTTGATTTATATCTTTGTAAAGTTTCTTTGAAGTCAAATTTGTTTACAACTGGTTAATAGATTAATCCTTAAAAACAAATTAATGTAACTGTATATAGTTCTTACACATTAAGTCTTATTCTAGTCTTACTGGAAAGTGCTGTAAAATTATACATTCTGAAAATTGTGAAAATACATTCTTCCATCAAATTCTCCCCTAGTCTTCAATCTTTTAAGAAATTCCTCAAGACACATCTGTTCAGAAATGCTTATGGCCTCCCAGAGTAACTTCTATCTCACATA